TAATCTCACATGGTTGGAAGAATACATGGTCTCACTATTGAGGCACAAAATCAGTTTGTAATGATTTTAGAAGCTTCTCAAGATTGGTGAACTCAGGTGCAATGGGCTAGTAAATGCTCCAAACCCAAGTTACCATCTTCATAAACCAAATAATGTCTTCTCTGATGAAATGGGCCACCTCTTCCTGGCATGGCACCCTTAAAAAGTCATTTGACAGGGATCTGTGGATGGAACTTGCAGAGGTATAGCTTGAAGTTAAATTACCATAATGAACCATTCTTAACTGCCATGTGGTTTGTCCCCTCGGACACATAGCATGCATTCTCCAGAGCGGGTGTCACAGGTAACAGTTCCACAGTGTGCCCCATGATGATGTGGTTGTTCTCATGAAGTTGGGCACTGTTAACCTTTGAATTACCAGCAGGAGGGTCTGCACACACCCAAAGGGACTGTGGCCAGTTCTCCCAGTGAAACAACTTACTGGGCTTTAAATCAGTTTTCTAACCCTTAACATCAGTTTTTGCATCACATTGAGTACCGTTCTGTGATCGAACGGAAGTCGCCTAGTTGAGTTGCTATCACACAGGACTGAAACTGAGTCCTTGCATTCCTGGCGCTTTGTGCCAGATAACAGCCGTTCCCACTGCACCCTGAGATTAGAGTCAGGTTGGATAATAGCCGTTCCCACTGCACCCTGAGACTAGAGTCAGGTTAAGGGTAGGTTTGCTTGGACTGCTCACTCTGGGCTTTCTGTCAGCCTGTAAACAAGAATTATCTGAGTTGCTCATGAGTTCTGTTGTAAAACTTAGTGATGGTAGTTAGCAGTAGTTCACCGAATCCTTGAAAATGGCTGACCATATATGTTAAGTACTTTCAGGAATGCCTATGCTAATTAGTGAAATTTTACCCTTCCAAAAGATATACATCAAAATACCATACTACTCCATGAATACATTTTGTCATCCGAGGGGAAGGGAACAAAAGGAAAACATAGCCTTGGTTTTCCAGGATTTTGTGACTTTCTAGGATATTCGCTTTGTCTCCCTAGTCAGTTATCTGTTTGACGTATTTTTAAGAACTTGTTATATGCTACTTGATTTGCATAAACACAAATAACTAGCCAGCTTGGTCAGGAAGAGATTTCCTTGGTAAACAATGATGACATATCAGTGATTTGCACTTTGATTTCTTAGAAATAGGAAACCATTGGATCACTTTATATTCATCTTATTTGTATTGAACTCAACACTTCCTCAATTAAGTAGAGGCTGCCAGGTAAAGAAATGCTGTTTGTACAGTGCCAGAAGCTGCATGGAAACACTTGGTTCTCTTAGGTGGATTAAATCATTCCTCCCCAAACATCTCATTAGCTGATGATCAGTCTTCCCTGCATTGGAGGGCTGTTAGTACAATGGCAGGGCCCAGGGTTGGGCTGCTAGGTTCAGCATGTTCCCAGCACTTCCAGGCAATGAGTTTCAGGCTGTTGGTTCCCCTCCCTGTGTCTCACTTCCTTTCCTGTAAAAGGAACTCAATGCCGATCTGCGTATTGCTGTGACAACATACTTCCAGCCCTTCCAGGTACACCGAATGTGCTCCACACACAAGGGTCACCACCAAAAATACGAATATCCCAAAGAATCCTAAATAGGTCCAACTCATAATAGTGAAAAATGTACACCCTGGTCCATGGCATAGGAAGAAACCAAACTGTTTCTGCTGATATGTGTCTCTGCATCTACCCTTTATACCCACACGGCATGGTTTGTTGAGTGCATGAATAAATGAACGATTAATTGATGAAATCCCCTCATTTCCCTCTTGATGCTTTCCTGCAGGTTTGGATAGCCTCAGGCAGGTTGTTTGCTTTGAGATACAGCCCTTCAAGTATTATGAGAAATATTGGGGTTTATGTTCTATGTCTGACTCATCTGACTTAATCCGTTGCTTTCTTCTCATCTGTGCATCAGGGTTTTCATGGATCCTTCTGTGTGGACCAGAGATCGTCAGGGTCTCCAAATCTGCAAGAAAGATCGCAGTGTTCATCATTTTAGTAAATTGTGTGTGTGTGTGTGTTTGAGATACAGGGTTTCCAAATAAAATTTAACTTTTAATTTGCATGTTTAGAGGCAGCAGTTCCCATGGATAAGCCAACATAAAACTCAGTCCACCGAAGTTTTCCTCTAAAATCTGAGAATTAAAAAAAAAATCCAGGTAAAATTTATTACTTGGCTTAGGAGTACTTCTAAATATTGCCACTCAGATCGTAATATGTAACTTTTCTGCCATGTAAGAGAAGGCAGACTTAGTTCTCCTCAGAACTTTTACTCACAACGATTATTATTTAAGTAATTTTCACATTCTGATTTCTTGCTCTGATATGGGTGATGAATTCATTGGCTTTGAAGATCAGAATAATCTCCAGGTTCTCAGACATGCTCCTACCTTAGCACAACTGATGGTTTCTCAAGGCCCAGCTCTCCCCGCAGTGTCATATAGCCGCAGAGTCAGAGGCCACTGGCATTCTCATTGCCTGGTCATGCCATTAAACGTCTGTGGCCCACGGAGTGATGCCCCTTGCTCTCTGATATCTACACTGCTTTCTTTTCTGCCTGTATTTTCTTTCCTTCCAGTATATAAATACAATGTTTAAACATATTTATTCATTTTTCTTGGAAAGACAGAAAGATTTTCCATCTGCTGGTTGACTCCCCAGATAGGTGCTATAGGCAGAGCTGAGCCGGTCTGAACGCAGAAGCCAGGAGCCAGGAATCAGGAGCTTCTTGCAGGTCTCCGACAAGGGTGCAGGGTCCCAAGGACTTGATTCGTTCTCTAACATTTCCCCACGTCACAAGCACAGAGATTAATGGGAACTGGAGCTGCTGGGACAAGAACTGGCACCCCAATGGGATGCCCACACCGTGGGTTCTTGTATGTAAATATTTTTGATTCTTTTTGCTTGTTTTCCTTCCTTGTAGTCTCCTACTATTTCATCTTCACCAAATCCTTATTTTCAGGACCACAAAGGTAGTCTCACCACAGTGTCCTTGCTGCACACAGTTGTGAAGCTTCCTATTTGCACTAGAACACAATTATCGGGCTTGCCAGCTTTTCTGCAAACCTCATTCTTTTGTATCGCACATTCATTCTCTCCCAGGTGTTTGGGTCTCTGGCTGCTCGAGCCAAAGCATCATCTTCTACTATTCCATTATAACACTTATTACCACGAATGACCAGAGCTTTCTCTGTGTGGCCTCCCACTGACATCTGACTATGTGAGAGAATCCTGCCTGTTCATGAAGTGTGTCAGGCATCTCACACTACACCCACTGAAACAGAACAAAGAACACCAGGCAAAGAAAGGAGCACTTCTATTTTTATGTACATATGGCAGTCATCTTTCTTTACAGATGGAGACATTTCTCAATGACAGTCATAATCACTTAAATTGAGTTGTTCATAGACAGATTGATTTGATAGAAACAGAAAGTAGGTTAACGGCTACCAAGTGCTGTGGGTGGGGTTAGGTAGTGTGTAATAGAGAGCTGAATGACGTGGAATATTGAGTATCTGACTTAGGTGAAGGAAAGTGTTGGCAGAAAGTTAAACTTATAACTGTTCCTGAGACTATGTTACTGTAATAAATTGGGGTAAAATAGCGGGAGGGGAAAAAAGAAGGGAAATGCAGGAATTTTCTATACCTACAAAACTATTGTGAAAAAAAATAAACAAAAATTGTACAAAGAAATGCAAGGGTGCTTCTTGGGCAACATGAATGCAATGAGTACTGTTGAGTCATATGCTTAGAAATGGCTAAGAGGGCAAATGTTGTGGCATATTTTTAAACTAATTGTTTTAAGTCAATAGTTTACACACCGAAAAGAGCCAAAGTTGTGTGATGCTTATTTTCTAAAAGAAAATGCTACATTGACAAATGGAAAACTCGTAGAAAGGAGTTTAGCAATCTGTCTTGGTTACAAACTAAATTATAGCAATACTTATTTTTAAAAGCTCATTATCAGGTTAATATTCTTGCAACTGGAAACATCATTATGTAGTGCAATGAGTACAAAAAGTGAGTGTGTAGAAGAATGCACTAGTCAAAGCGCTGAGCCCCCGAGGCTGCCTGGTGCAGCAGCTCCTCACTCTGCTGATTACCTGGTCAAGATGGGTATAAGTTCAGAGAGAACCTGTGTTTGCCCCAAGGCGGCCTCCGATTTCGCATTCTGTGTAGAGTGTTCATCTCACTGAAGCACAGTTGGAAAAAAGCACATGGAATTCCCAAATGAGTTTATGTTGAATAAAATGTTTTGTTCTGTAAGATCTTGGATTCTACAAATAACAATTCTTATCAAATTATTTAGCCTACATGATTAATCTTTTACTTCTGATTTTGTTATTTGATAAATTTACTCTTAGCTTATTTCATAATTTGCGCAGTATTATTCCATTCAAAATTTCAGGAGCAGGCATGTGTCCTTATGGTAAATTCCTTATTTCCCATATGTAAGTGCCAGGGTTCCATACCCAGGTCTGGCTGGAGACTGGCTTTTTGGCCAATGTAGATCCTGGGAGACACTGGTAGCTCAAGTAATTGGGTTCCTGGAACCATTGTGACAGACTTGAATTGAGTTCTTGAAAGACAGTTTTGGCTTTTAGCCAATTCAACCAATCACAGTCATTTGAGGGTCAGCCTGAAGACGGGATCTCTGTCTCCCAGCTGTTTAAGAAATAACTGTTTTTAATCCAAGTTCTAGTTAACGCTTTGGAGAAATACTGATTTGCATTCAGAGCACTCCTGTTATTGGTAATCTGTACATTATGATTCTCAAGCAGATGTGTGTGTGTGTGTGTTTGTGTGTGTATAAGTAGTTAATATAGAGAAGCATCCTTCACAATGGAGAACTGTCTTAGAAACATTGGTGTGCATGTGCTAATACTTTTTCTAACCTTTTTCTTTGCTTCTTTCTCTCTCCCTTCTTGCCATGCTGACTTCGATGTAGCAGACCACTTGGGGATTGAATTCATGGGTAAGAAGAAACTACTTGCTCCTTAAATATCCTGAAAAAGCTTCATTTTAAACTGTGCATAATTCTCCCCTTCCTCACCTGATTATAAATGACATGTCTCATTTATAATCATGATGTCAATAGCAAAAAATAAATTTTTAGTCCATTTTGTCCTAACTGAAGGCTCAAATGAAAGACTTCACTACATTTTGGGAAAGGCAATTTAATATCAAATGCAGAATCATACAGAAGTTGAATTTGGTTCTTGGCTTATAGTATTTTCTCTAATTCTTAATTGTATTATCTGTAAAATAAGGATAGTAATAAGATACTTTCTATTTTGCTGCACGTATAACTTTCTTAGCACAGTGTCACAAAATGGCAAGCAGTAAATGATCTAAAAAATAATGAAAATGTTAGTTTTTGTTCCTGTCAGCTTTAATCCTTTTCTACTGGCATTAAGACCACTTTGTATACATTTTACTATCCTCATTCATTTGGACATTGGGTGTTAAGCATTTCCATTTATGAAACCAAAATATTTCTTTGAAAAGTACATGCAGCTAAAAATGTGTTTTTAATAGGTTAGAATGCCTTCAATGGCATTATTTTTGTATTTACAGATTGTTCTATTAACAATTAGAAATGATTTTTTGAGTATTTTCTTCCAAGCTAGCTTCAGTACTCAAAATTCATTTTTAAAATAAATCTTTTAAACGAAACAGGAAAAAAATCTGAAGTTCAAATAGAGCCAAACAAACAGAGTGTAATGAATTCGGATGGAATTTTGATCTTCGCAATTTCCCTGAACTCTAATGCCTAAACATTTTTTTCATTGCTGTTCTCCTACTGTGACTTTTTTCTCTTTCATGATGTAGATGTAATGTACATGTAGCTGAATATTTGCTTCAAATATTAATATCTTAATTGTATTTTTGAGGAGGGTTTAAATCAATTCATGGAAATGGATATTATGTATGGTCATACATGGATTTAGTATTTCTTGTGCCAGGATAAGCCTTATTTATGGTTAAGGATGTATTTTAGAAAGCAAAGTGATAGAAAGGAAAGGTAGAGAAAAAGAATTCTTCTGTTTATGTGTTTATTTCCAATTACCTGCAGTAGCTGGAGGTGGACAAAGCTGAAGCCAATTAACTAAGAGCTACATCCTCGTCTCCCACGTGGGCGGCAGGAATGCAGAGGAACCATATAACAATGTACCCTATGACATAGTAGGCAAATCAGTGATAATCGGGTGCTAATATTTACTGAGATTCTACGTTTCTAAGAACTAGCCAAGACAACGTGATGTTACCTTAGATTCGTCCATTGGCAGACTATATGGGAAACATTGATGCATATTTAGGAAGGAATATTAACACAACCAGTACTTGAGAAGAATTGTTGTTGAAGGCTGTAAGGTGATTGATTGCAAGATTATGATGTGAATATTCAGATAAGAAATAGAGTACTTCGTGAGGAAGACTATGGTTCCAAGAATGGATTGATTGCAGGTGTGTACAAGGTTAACTATGCAAGTATGTGTTTGGTATACCTTTGGCATATATGTTAACATACATTAGACATTCAGGTCCTAGATATTTAGAACTATCTAAATCCATGCATGATCATTCATAAGTTTGTGATTGTATTACTGGAAAATTTGAGACTAGGGACTAATGATTGCATCTTCACATTGAAATAGTTTTCCCTGTTGTATACTGTTATTCACTAGTGCTCCATTATCTGGGTATTACATCATAGAAAATGCAGACAGCTCCATTCCTGCAGGTCAGGTTTGAGGTTTTACTAGATAAATGTTAGGGACACTGAGCAGAGCAATGAAATGCAGGGCATTCATCAAATGAAGCACCCTGGAATGTAAGGTGGCTATGAAAGGAAGTGAGAAAAAGATAACTGTCTCAGTGAAATCAATTAACAGTCACTGTGACTGATTATAGTCACGTGGAAGACTGGCTGATAATTATTTTGGAGAGGGAATGTTAAAAACGGATAGTCATTTTCCAAATATGCCTGTAAGGGCAGAGGAAGAAATGATTTGAAATCACACATCAAAAGGCATGTTTTGAATAGGCAATAGGGATTGTCTAAGTCAATGTTTGCTACTGATGATGATGCTAGGGTTAAAAGAGACAGAAGAAATATTTATCATGTGCCAAAGCTTCCAATAAATGAGATGGATTATGCTGGAATCTAGTAAGTGAAAATGAATTGGTTATTATACATAGATGTGGGTTGTGCAGGCTACATAAAAAAAAGTGGAGCCCCCAGAATTATAATGGCTCAAACCCAGTATCAGTTTATTTTCTGCTACTCTTTTTTTTTTCTTTTCTAAAGTGGATCTACATAGCCAGTAAATAACGGTCTCCATCTGAGCAGTGGCTCAGAGATGCAAACTGTTTATCTCTGCATCACCTGTATTTGCCGTCAGCTCTCAGTTGAAGACGTAAAAACAGATGCTAGATATACATCCCTTGCTGAAAAGATTTACATTCTTACTTGATTCACATTCTGTTTGTTATATACAAGTTGCATAAACAGATTCTCCTGCAAGAGAGTTGGGAAATAAAGCCCTGATATAGAGACAGAAAAAAAAAAGGGCATGCATTGGTAGTCATCACTGCCATGATGCAAATAGAATAACGTTTAGAGGAACAGGATTTCTCATAGGCTGACCGATCTCCAACTTTGAGAGAGAGAAAATAAAAACAGCTTTCGGAGAGGTAAGGGGAATTAGACATTTCTGGCAAGATTTGGGCTCCTGTTAAAATAGGGGAAATAAAAGAAATTAGAAAGAATGACAATGCAGATGCAGTGTTGGCTTTTGTAAGCATGCATTTTTAGGAGAGCAAGTGGAGAGCTTGGTTGCTGGAGGAAGAGTGCGAGTAGGCATCTGACTTGTGGGCCACAAATACAGAAAATTATGGCTGTGGTGGGTGCAGTAGACAAGTTATTTTTGCTCTCATTCACTAAGGAATTAATGGCATCAAGGTGTAAGCACCAGCAGTCATTGTGGAGTAAGTGGATCCTGGGCCTCATGAGGCCGGGCAAGTTTGGCTAATGGAGATTTCAGACATAGAGAACCGAAGCTTTGGATGTTGGTTATCAGAATGCTCACAACTGCAGGAAATGCCAAATGGCTGTTAGCAGGGCTGGGGTTGTGTCAGATATCCCATGGTGGTATCCATAATTATGGCAGTCTATCCATTGTAACTATTGAAGAAAATTGGCCAGGGTTTTGGCGTGAAAGCCTAGTGGCACCACTTTGTATCCTGGCTGCTACACTCCCCATCAAGCTCTTTGCTTGCAGCCTGGAAAAGCAGTTGAGGATAGCCCAAAGCCTTAGGACCCTGCATCCACTTAGGAGACCCAGAATAAGCTCTTGGCTCCTGGCTTTGGATCATCTCTTCTGTAACCATTATGGCCACCTAGGGGGCGAACTAGCAGACAGATCTTTCTGTCTGTATCTCCTTCTCTCTATATATCTGTCTTTCCAATAAAGCAACAAAAATAATAATAATAACAAAAAAAGAAATAGACCAGTCTTCATCTAGTTGCACCTTGCCTGACAATATCTAATGGCACTGGTCACTTAAAGTGAAACAATTTGTTATGGCAGCAAAATTAAGATGTCTCTGTATTATAACTTGTTTAAATGAATGCGGTTACTCGGTTAGGAAAAATAGCAGGTTGCTGTGTAGTTCATCTATCTAAATGTAAAGATTATGGTTGCAGGAAGTCTTATGAAAACTCAAGAGTCAAATCATTTCTATAATGCCTTGCTGGGGTTAGGTGTGGGAATGAACTCTCAGTGGGTGGCTATTTGACCCCAGCCAGAGATAGTGCCTCAGAAAGAGGAGGTTGGCTGGCAAATCAGAGCTAAGGGGAGCACGTAGTATGTAAATAGATAATGACCGCTAACTACAGTTTTTTTTTTTGAATAAAGAAAATGTTTAGAGGCAACATGAAAATATGGATTCAATTGGCCTTGTCAATTCACCCCATAGACTTCCCTAACTCTGTAAAACCAAACCAAACCAAAAACGAACAGAAATCAGCTCTATTTTCTCTTTTGGGGACAAATATTTTCAGATTTAACTTGTGATAACAATATCCTATATGGATATAATTTCCTTTTCTGAAAATTCTATCTTCCCAAGTACTCCAGCCATTTAGGATTTAAGTTCAGTTACGAAGCAGAAATGGAAGCATATTCTATCAAAGTTTGATCATGTCACTTGATTGTTATTCCTACAGTTGATCAAATGTCAGTTCTTCCTTTGTGTCCCATCTATATTAATTTTTAACAGGTCAGGACAGCTTTAAGTTCACAACAAAAATGAGCTTAACATACAAAGATCACTTGACTATATTTATGTTTGTGTGTGTCTTTATTCCTCAACTTCTGTCTAAATGTGGAGTATCTTACCACTTCCACCCCATGTTGATTGCTGTAACTATTGGAAATTTTAATTGTATTGAACGGTTTTCTTATGTTTTATGGACCTTTCACCTCTCCATACAAACTTTGAGTCAGTTTATCAAATGAAATCAATGTAATTACTTGCTGAGATTTCAATCATATATATAATATATCTGTATGTAAGGCTGGAAAAGCTTACAATTTCACAATAGTGAATTTATCTATCCATTATCATGGGATACATCCGCTTTAGTCTAATTTCTTTGCCTAGACATTGGTAGTTTTCTTCTCACAGATCTGAATGATTTGTTAGATTTATACCCATGTACTTTGTTTTGAGAGTTAATATATTTTTTTAAATTTCCAATTCCACGTGTTTCTCACTGGTGTTTAGGAATATCAATGAGTTCTCTTTATTCAACTTGTATCCTGCTATATTTCTCTGTTCATTAGCTACAAGAGTTCTTTTTTCTTTTTCTTTTTATTCTTCCAGATTTTTGGGGGCGGAGGGGGTTCCACTGATCATATCATCTACATGTACAGTTTTATTTCCTCATTCACAATTTCTATTCCTTGC